GTGACGTCGCCTCTCGCAAGCGCACCATGCTCCTCAGAGACCTGATGACGCTGTCGGGCTTCTGCGGGCCTGGCCCGCCATCAGCTTTGGCTGTGGCTGGCTCTCCCATAGGACTTAGGTGTTTTGGCAGCTATGAAACACTTCCTATGCGTAATTATCCTTTATCACCCGGAGGACAACTATCAATATGGCTATGTTTGCACTTTAAACACTGACGCAGAGGGCACTGATCGCCGAAACCCCAACCCTCTCGGTGCCTCGCCGAAAGTGTGACGTCACCGACACCGTCCTCCCTCCCCGCCCGCCGACAGAGGACGACATCTGGAGTGAGAAGTGTGCGGTGCTGGACACCACCGTGAGAAACCACGACAACTGGGTTCGCAAGGAGTGCGACGAGGCGCATCAGGCCGTCTGCGAGCACACTGGTCAGTACCACGACTCGAGCGACCCTCAGCGGGGGCGCGCCCCACTCCCCCCCCCCCAACCCCACACCACTACCTACTCCCACCCCTCTCAGCCCGCTGCCATGATCGAAACACCCGACCGCTCTCCACGACTCGTCAGGCTCACGCCTGGCTTGCCTCGCCCGACTCCGGTGCTTGTGGATGCTGAGCGCTGTGACGGCACGGCGTCGCCTCCTGACACGCTGACGCGCCGACACGCTGACGCGCTAGTACGGTGACACGCCGACACGCTGACGCGCTGGCACGCTGGCACGCTGACACGCTGAGACGATGACATGCTGCCATGCTGCCATGCTGCCATGCTGACACGCTGACACGCTGACACGCTGACATGCTGACATGCTGACATGCTGACACGCTGACACGTTGACACGCTGACACGCTGGCGCGCTGACACGCTGAGGACGATGACATGCTGACATGCTGACATGCTGACACGCTGACACGCTGACACGCTGACACGCTGACACGCTGACACGCTGACATGCTGACATGCTGACATGCTGACATGCTGACATGCTGACACGCTGACACGCTGGCGCGCTGACACGTTGACACGCTGACACGCTGACACGCTGACACGCTGATACGTCGTTGCAGCGTGCTACTCGGAGCGCGGCCGCCAGTGCACGTTCCCCTTCACGAACCCCGACGACGGCATCGAGTACCACAACTGCTCGTCGCTGAACCCGGCCGACATCTTCGAGCCCTGGTGCGCCACAGGTGAGGCCAGACCGTCGTCACGTGACCGTCGTCTGGAGCCGGCAGACGGGCGCCGCAGGTCACGTGGGCCTCTCAGCCCGCCGGCAGTCACGTGACCGTCGTCTGGAGCCGGCAGACGGGCGCCGCAGGTCACGTGGGCCTCTCAGCCCGCCGGCGGTCACGTGACCGTCGTCTGACGCTGCGTGTCTGGGCGGCCAGAGGTCAACGGCACGGGCCACGCCACGCGCCTGGAGCGCTGCCTGCCCTACTGCTACTTCGAAAGACCCATCGTCACCTGCTACGACACGCCGCCGCGGCCGCCGCTGCAGGACGAAATGCCGGCCGACCGGTGGCGCGTCAACTGGACCTCCAGCTGGGACGGCGTCACAGACCTGCAACAGGTGAGACCGGCTGGCGCGGCGACGGCGACGGCGGCGGCCGCTGTCGCGGCGCCGGCAGTGTGTGGACGGCCGTCGGCGACGGCGGTCTCGCTGGAGGGCCTCACTCGGCCGGCACCGCGATCAGCGCCGGCTTGGCCGTCTGACCTCAGAGCGCTAATGCGCCGGCGGCAGCCGCCGGCACTCCACAAAAACGTCGTGACGTGTGCCGCGTCCCATACCAGCAATGGAAGGCAGCGCGGAACGGTAGCGGTGACTCGCGCGGCGAACTGGACTGGGCGTGGCCCTCGCGTTGGCGGCGTGGGGAGGGGGTGTCAGAGGGCGGGAGGCTTCGCTTTGGCCCGAGAGCGAACGCAGCGCAGTGACAAGGGCCGCCTCACCCGCAGCATCAATCCATCATCTACACCTGCCCCGAGGGATACCACTTTGACTTCAACAACACGCCGGAAGTGCAGGTCACGTGCGGCAACTGGACCTGGGAGGAGGCACCGCAGCTCAACTCCACCTGCCAGCGTAAACAGCTGACGCGCGCGGCCGATGGGGCGCCGGGCGGAGCTGGCGTATGACGTCATCAGCCCTGTTTGTCGCAACTACTTGTGTGTATTGTGCATCTTGCGTATCAGTCCCAACCACTTGTAGTTGCTTGTGTGTATTGTGTGTATGGACACGCTAGATTGCGAACTAAGCATCGTTGCCCAGTTTTCGTACGATCATGACTACGATTATTGCGTGGACGAGATAATCATGGGTATTTCATGGTGTGTTTGGCTATTCTCGCTGCCTATCGGACAAGAATTAACGCACAACACTTTCATCGAGACGCGAGAGCGTAGAGCTCTTAGACAGCTTATTTTCATCACAAATGTTACGTTAGCCATTAGGGCGGGGTTGCTGTACGTTTTTTACTTGTTTGTATTTTTTACTCCACAGCAATTTCCAGTAGGTTATGACATCCATTCGGCATGTTCTACGAAGAAGCCATGCTGGAATCATGGTCTCGTTCAGAACTGATCAGTTTTCTTCAGGCAATGAACCCTTATTTTTGAAGACCAAGCTGTAGACAGACGGCGTGTTTTTTTTTAGTCATTCAGTATTTTCCATTTCGCCGAAGGTTTCTCTCATGACTGAATATGCTGAAAGGTTTCGAACCTGCACTAACAGAGGACAGACCAAATATGATCTGGTGATATTTTCACTTTGGCAGCAGCTTAGCCTACAACATTGAGGCCGAAAGCCCAAACGTGTCAGTCTTAACTGTTTGAAATGTTTTCGGGCTCAAAAACGTTTTTTGGGGATTACGACATTTCTTTGGCTGCACCAATCTATTTAAGTATTTGTCCCAATTTCTTATTTAAAAATTGTCCCTTCCCAAACGTCCCGCGGAGAACAATTGATTCCGTTTAGAGACGAACCCCTTGTGAAGCCAAGTGCGCGTGCCGGCGCCGACGGCACGTCTGGTCCTGCTCCCAGCGGTCCGGTGCCCGGAGGAGCTGCCCAGGGTGGCGTCCGACTCGGCCTACAACGCCTCTATCCTGGCCTGGAACGAGGAGCACGAGTACCTCACCGAGATCACCTTCGAAGTGTCCCACAGGCACGTAATGGCCGGAGGGCTAGCCGGCGACAGAAGAGCGGGAAGGGTAAATGTTATCAACAGATGATGTTGGCTGCTTCAAACAGCGCTGAGATTCGATGCAGGTAGTATGTTGCTGACTGAACACAACACCATACATGACTTGCCAGTCAGTACTGAATCGGCATTGAAGTGGGCTGAGCGCTCGGGGCCACGGTTGATGAGGTGCGCTGTTGTTTGTGGCCAGGTCACACGTATGACATGTCCGTTGGTGTTGCCCAGGTCACATGCTTGAGGGGAGATCAGTCCACTGGGCCGCGTTCCTCATTGGCAAAGTACCTACTTGAGTTGCTACCGATGACAACGCAAGTTAATACGCCATACACAAGCGACTATTGCCCAAGCCGTAGCAGCAGTTGTGACACACTTACCGCTGACGTCATAGGTTGCAACTTGTGGACAGCTGTTGGTAATGGAGAACGCGGCCCTGGTGGCCGTCAAGTCACGTGCTCGGGTGGTGCGCAGCACGTCAATTGGTGTTCGCCAGATCACGTAATGGAGGAGAAAGCCTGCCGCCGTCCTGTAGGTCGCGTGTTCACACGTCCGCTGCCGTTGACCAGGTCACGTGTTCGAGGGTGAGCCGCGCCAGACGGAGGATGACTGGCAGACAAACCCGTCCAACTGGAGTCAGCTGCTGACGGTGCGGTGCGAGGCGTCGCAGAGCTGGTCGCGGCCCCAGCTGCCCGCCTGCCAGCCCTTCGACTGCGCTGGCCCGCCGCCGGCGCCGCTTCTCGCAGTCTCCTCCGACTGGGACAACGACACGCTCACCTACAGCTCCTCCGTACGTCACGCTCGCCTTCGACCCTTCCGCACGTCACGTTCTGTTCCGACTTCTCCGCATGCATCGTCGACTCCTGCGTGCCTTCCGCTTGCCTTCGACTCCCGCGTGTCTTGCGCCCGCCTTCGACTCCTCCCCTTGTGACGCTCAACATCAGCTCCTGCGTATGCTCCGCCCACTCTAAACTCCTCCGCGCGTCAAGGTCACCTTCGACGCCTGTGCTCCTGTAAGGCTCTATACACTACATGCAACTATCACACCTTCACGCGCAATTAGCTGTGTTCATACACAATTACTTAAGTTTACACACAACCATTGTTGCGTGACTTTCACTTAATCTCGGCACGTTCTGCTAAAATGAATTATTCCGCAGTGCGTGCGCCATAGTCAGCCTGTATCCCTCTTCGTCAAAACCCTGCTTCACACTGGCGCTGTGTGTCTGGACTCCTGCGGCGTGCACAACACACACGCACGCCATCTCGGAGCCAGGTTCCGCGCGCACGTCTGCGCCACGAATCGGCCGGCGCCCGCGGCCGGCTCGTGCCCGCGTGTGATAACGTCACTGTCTGCGCGGCAGGTGCGCTACTGGTGCACGGCGGGTGTGGGCTGGGGCTTCCCCAGCGACGGTTTTGCCACAGAGCGCAGCGTCACCTGCCAGGCTGGACGGCAACTGGTCGCTGACCAGCGTCGAGGACTGCATCGGTGAGCCCCGGCGGCCGAGCGTCGCGCCGTCGGATGCCACGACCACCGGGCCTCGTGGTGACCTTCCAGGTTGTGTGCATTGTGCTGTTGAATCATGCCACCTTCGCCTACCGAGCTCTATGGAGGCCGTCTTGCCTGGTCCAGACCCCTATGCCCCCGATCCGTGCGTGCAGCCCTGAACCACACCACGTTCTCCCGGCGACCTCTTTGAAACCTTCTGATGCTGGCCTGCTGGTACAGACGGGGTTCCGGCGCTGCCGCACCCGCTAGCCGTTGATGCGACCTCGGCAGACCAACCGCCCTGCCTCGCCCCGCCCCCCCCCCCCCCTGCGTGACGCGACCCGCGGCGTGCAGTGACGCCCTCCGCGCGCCGGCAGTGATGCCCTGCCCAGACCGCCCGCCGGCGCCTCTGGCCGACCAGCAGCTGTCGTACGGCATTCATCGTCAGCAACTACACGTGCCCCGCCGGGCTGGGAGTTCCCCGGCGGCGGAGCGCAGCGCTCTGTCGAGTGTCTGCTCGACACCAAGGTGTGGCAGCCTGAGAGCGTGCCAGCCTGCCGCAGTGAGTGAAGCCGACCGATGGACCGGCGGACGCCCGAGGCAGTGGTAGAGCGATGAGGGAGTGGAGAGAAATGGAGGCTGGCTCTTGTGCAGCCTCGGGCTGTCGGTTCGGGACGGGCGTGATTAGATGCGCCGGTAGCAGTGGTGATATGTGCCGGTAGCAGTGGTAAGGTATTGCCAGCAGCAATGGTGAGATGTGCCGGTAGCAGCAGTGAGATATGCCGGTAGCAGCGGTGAGATGTGCCGGTAGCAGTGGTGAGATGTGTCGGTAGCAGTGGTGATATGTGCCGGTAGCAGTGGTAAGGTATGCCAGCAGCAGTGGTGAGATGTTCCGGGAGCAGCAGTGAGATGTGCCGGCTAGCAGCGGTGAGATGTGCCGGTAGCCGTGGTGAGATGTGCCGGTAGCACCGCTGCGGCGGGGTGGACTAGACCTGCGACAGTGAGCGCGACCCATGACGTTAGTCAAGCAGTTTTCCAGCGGCAGTGTTCTGGTCCTCATGCTGGCCGGGAACGTGTCCGCTTTAGCTGACACGGCCGGGCTTTGTTCACACCACTGAATGAAATGTGATGAGGACTAGTCACCATTTTATGGTGAATAGATAGAGACGTCTGCTGTAACGGACTTGCCCGGCCTGTAAAAGATCGCCGTGTATTGGTGACATGACGAATGACAGGATGGTAACGTAACAATATAGCATTCTACAATCTCGTCGGGTGTCAGCAAGCCATCGGGTGTCAGCAAGCCAAACAGGTTCCAACAATGCGTTAGCTTGAACCAGCTGTCCACCCGACTGTGGGCGCACGTCTACCCCGTTATGAGTGTAACCGGAGCCGCCGGTCAGCCAGTGACGCCGCCGCCACCCTCGACAGAGCGTCGCTGCGAAGACGCGCCCCCGGAGCAGCCCGCCGACGACATGGCTGTGGACTGGCCGCTGGTCGGCGGCTACCCGGGCCGACAGATGGACCACGTGGTCACCTACAATGTCCGCGGGGCTTCATCACGTGGGACCTCAACGTCACGAATCAGGTGAGCGGCGCCAGGCGCGCGGCCACGCGTGCGCCGAGGACCGGCCCGCTCTCTGACGACGCCGGGCGGTAATCACTGCCATCTATCGGAGAAGACTGACAGATGCCGTCGGCCGTATCACGTGCGTTTGCAGCGCTTCGTTCAGTGCTTCTCTGTTGGTACGCCGGTCTGTGGTAGCAGCGCTATCCGCAGCACGTTGACAGTACCTGAACGCGACGATCCGGTGGTCCTGCATGACTTCACGTGACCGATCCACCTCAGCGGGTTCGCGAGCCATTAATGAAGCCGATGATGCGTGAGCTCAAATTCACGACAGCTGGTGGCGCTCTAAGTCGGCTGCTGACGTCACGTACTGATGCCACCGGCAGGAGGTGACGTGCGTGCACGAGCCGGCGAGTGACGCCATGGTCTGGGACCCACCCGACATCGCCGAGTGTAACCGTGAGTGCAGCGGGTTGGTCACGTGGTCCGGCCGCAGGTCGTGTGACGTCATGCCGTGCGCCGTCGGCTGGCGGCGCGCGCACGCGCGCTGAAGCTGGTCCGAGGCTAATGACGTCCACGCTTCTTTAGATGATGTCATTGACAGAGGGTTCTGAATCTGGATGACGCTGCTGTCGATGACCGGCCTGACATAGATGGCCATATTGACAGCGTCTTCGATCTCTTTGATGCCCTACGAGTGACATCTTAGACTCTCGTGGCCAAGTCTCTGTGGGCTTAAACGCGCCTTCTCTGCGGCTGATCGATCAGTGGATTGATAAGTTCTGAATGGCTTCCACAATAAGGCGTGTTGCCAGTTGTCATTCCGCGTTGTACTGAAGGCTCAGTCTCGCGATATGTAATTAACCCATCTGTCGGCATCCTCATCTCCCATGCCGCCGGAGCGAGACACCGACTCAGGTACGTGCTGCAGCTCTGTCATGGTGCTGAGCTTCAGCTCTATCGTGGCGCTGAGCTGCAGCTCTATCGTGGCGCTGAGCTGCAGCTCTATCGTGGCGCTAAGCTGTAGCTCTGTCGTGGCGCTGAGCTGCAGCTCCGTCATGGCGCTGAGCTGCAGGTCTATCGTGGCGCTGAGCCCACCACGGACAACCAAGAGTTGTAGCTCTATCGCCTCTGGCTGAAACGTTGGATGATTAATCAGCATTGGCGCTGGAAATGTCTTGGTATAGTAATTCTAAGTCTAAGTAATTCCAGTTTGTTCGAACATATACCGTAGCATGTTAATTCTGAGCAGTGTTGCTATCGCTATTTTGGAGGAAAGTGTTAACTGTGTACATCAGTCGTTGTTATCCTTCCCCTTCCTGTCGCCACGTCCTGCCGAGAATGAATCAGAGTGGACGAATGAATGGGTGAGAATGAATCAGAGTGGTCGAATGAATGGGTTATGTCATGTGCTGACGAGTGCGCGCGTGTGTACGTCATGGGTACATGTGCACGTGCGTGTGCTGAGGGAGCGTTGGCGCGTGGGACGGCCGGTCTGCCGCGGACAAAGACTGCAACGTGAACGTTTGACGACAAAACTGACGAGACGAGAAGACTGGAAAGCCGCGGGAAGTGGCTCGCCTCCCTGTGATCAGCCGAAGAGATGGCCTCGGAGAACCTCGCGTTGGTTGTGGAGACCGAACAGCTACATGAACAGGTGAGGAGGCGAACAATAAGGGGTACCTGGCCATGTGAGTGGCTTGCAACCCATGTGCGGGCTGTTGGCGTGATCTCTTTTGGAAGAGTGTGTGCTTTGGTTTAATACCTATTGGTTAGGATGTGTTTGTGTAATGCGGCAGCGTACAACCAAACGCGTCCAGCAGATTAACACAATAGGGTTGTTGGAGTCTTGGATCTGCTTCCATCAACAGGTTCCATAGAATCTCAAAGAAACTTTGATTATTTTTCCGTCTCATTCTTCCTCGCTCGATTTTCCACGATCGGCCGGCACGCTTCGGGAAGGAGAACAGCCTGTGCTGCGCCTGCCAGCCGTGGCCGACTCTGGCCGGGGAGCTGGCGCCGCGGCCGAGCAGGGAGATCAGCTGTGGCCGACTCTGGCCGGGGAGCTGGCGCCGCGGCCGAGGAGGGAGATCAGCTGTGGCCGACTCTGTCCGGGGAGCTGGCGCCGCGGCTAAGGAGGGAGATCAGCTGCGCCGCGAGTGCTGACTGAGCTAGCCCAGACCAGACTGGCGTCAGCGGCCGAGCTACCCGCCGCCACAGACGGAGCAGTCCTGTGTGCTGTCAGCAGAGGAGACTGCCGGCCTGCGTAGCCCTCTCCAACGGCGAGGAGAGAGCCAGCACAGGTTCGCGACAGTCAGACCACGCTCCGGTGCTCCGTCCACACTGATCTGAAGTCTGGCTTCACCCCAGACACGCTTAACAATGCATCATTATGGGCCGCGTGATGTTTGCTCCCAATGTGATGGCTTGTGACGTGCGGCTACCGAGTCCGGGGCCTGGGAGGCGGGAGCGGCAAGGGAGCCTAGAGTCAGAGTCGGAGTCGGAGTCTAACGCAAACTCCGTGTGGCCTGCCGGCCGGATGGGTGTACCTATACTGGGACTGTTAAAAGTTCTACACTTAAGGCTAAAGCGGAGAATCTGTGTCTGTTCCTTTCTTTTAGCCTGATTGTAGAAAAAACTGATGTGAATAAAGTGACGAAAGCGTTGCAGCTTGTTTTGGAACTGCTATTCAGCGCGTCTCTTGTTTCAGGTTTGATTGTTAGTCTAGGCTTGCGTCTTAACGGATAAGTCACGTACTCGAGCCCAATCAGGACTCACTGTCATGGCCGACCTCGGACGTCACACAGTGGCCCGACCTCTGTCGGACGTCACACAGCGGTCCGACCTCTGTCGGACGTCACACAGTGGCCCGACCTCTGTCGGGCGTTACACAGTGGCCTCGGCCTCTGTCGGGCGTCACACGCGACGTGTCACAGTTGACACGTGACCCCGTCAGCGCCGTGACAGCGGCGTCACAGCCGGACAGACCGCGTCCGTCCGGTCCGGCGACCGCTGCAGGGACCGCCGGCGGCGATGGAGGCCGGGACCGAGCGTGGCGACACTCGGTACAGCCAGGCCGGTCGGTGTGGGGACCCAGAAGGGTCGGCAGGGGACGACCTAACGTGGTCTCCATTTACATAATTGATTGCACGGCTGCATGGTTCTCACTAGATTTTTGCGTTTTCAGACGACGGCTATTTACGCACTCCAAATTTGGTAATTTTTAGCTTCTTCCGACCCCTTGGTATGACATTTGTTCCACTAACGACCTCGAGCCCAATGCAAGTTAAATAGGTCTTCGTATGCTCACATCTGTCCATCTTGCTTTCCCATGTTTCTATGACCAGAAGTTTCGGCATTCTTTCAGGCTGGCCGGTCGCACAGCGTAAAACAAACCACTTCAACATCACAGTGTCTATTTACACCAATCATGCTCATTCCTGCACCCGTTCATAATAGCGACCATCTCACGGATATAGTTACCCCATCTGTCGGCGCGCATACGAACCAAACACGCACGCTGCTTACTAAGCACGCTCACACGGGGACTAGTCGGTGGTTACAGCTAACTGTCGCGTTGCAGTCGCCATGGAAGGCCACACGCGAGCCCGAGACGCTCTGGCGGCTTGTCACGGGCGCAGGACGCAGGACGCAGGGCGGGACGGCGCTCGCGCGCTGGTCAGACCGATTACTCCGCAGCAATGGCATCATTCAAGTGCTGATGACGTCATCTCGCGCTGACGACGTCATCTCGCGCCGTCCCCTGGCCACTGCGGTGACCACACTGGGGGTCATGATGTTGCCATCGCATGGCAAGGGGGGGGGGTCGTTCCCAGCTCATGAACGGCTCCTCCACGTTCTGCAATTTGACTATGCTCCTCTGTCGGCTCGAAGCCGCGCGAACGCTTACGTCGCTTCGTCATTTCGCTTTACGCACCATAGTCATGGAGCCGGAGGGTTTCCGTGAATGGTGCGCTAACGCGGTAAGATGACAATGAAAACAAAGGGATCGCTAGTACCGGGTTTTGCGCATCTGTGCGCATTGACAACGTCATTTCTCCCCGTCCCTTGAGAGATCTGCTTTCCCAACATACATCCCCGGAATGGTGGGGAGTTTTGCAATAGGGTTTGACTACTGGGGTCTGTGGCATACTGCGGTTCCGACAGGCCAATTTCAATGGACTTAGTTACGTTTGTAACGTCGGTGACAAAAAGTGATCTAGCCAGAATACACCGCCGTCAGTCCGGTTCTGGCCGGCCGGTTTATTAGGGAACATTCCTCAATGGCCCGCCCAAGTCGTTAACGGCGGCATCGTGCTTCCAGGAGTCCTCACCGAGCGTCACAGGACGCTAACCGCACTGGCCCGGCCCATGCCGACCGCAGGCCGTGAGCTAGCTCACCTCTCGCCTCCTCTCACACACACGCAGCTCTCGGTTCCCGCGCCCAGCGCTGGCGAGAGTGCCGCCGGCGTCGCGCTCTCAGAGCTGCGTGTCGGTGATCTCGCCGGGCTGCGCCAGCGCCGCCTCCCGGTCGCTGAGCGCCTTGAGCAGCTTGCGGCGCGGCCCGAGCGGCAGGCCCAGCTCGGCCAGGTCGGCCTCGGAGAGCAGCGCCAGTGCCGCCAGGTCGATCTGCTCGCGCGTGAACGTTGGGATGAACTCGGCCAGGCCGGCCGACGTCAGCACCAGGTGCAGCGCCGACGTCTCCGGGTTCATCTCCTCCACCTCGTCATCTGCCGGCCAGCAGGGGCCAGCACGTACAGAGGAGCCGAGGCTGAGCTCAGCACGTACAGAGGAGCCGAGGCTGAGCTCAGCAGGTGCAGTGGCACCGGGGGTGGCCTCAGCAGGTACAGAGGCACCGGAGGAGGGGGCCTCAGCAGACACAGAGACACCGGGGGCGGGTTCAGCATGCAGTGAGGTATGGCGGAAATGTGTTTAGCTGCAGTGACGTAGGCCATAACTACTTGATAAAACAAATGAGTAGGAAACGTTGGACCTTCTCGATGTCTGTTGGCAGGGGAAGCTGGCTGACTTCCTGACTTTGTTTTCCATCGGCGCGGCACAATGCAGCTGTCACGACGCCAGCTAGTGTGCCAGCTCTTCCTTTTAGTCCTCGCCGAACTAGTCAGAGGGCAGAGACTGAAGGCTAAGTAGTAAGGAAAGCAGGGAGAGGTGATATCCATAGGTTACAATATGAGCTCTACCGGGGGACAATTTGCTAGAGGGACGGTCACAGCGTTGATGTTCATAAGGTGTATGCCACTTTCCCAACGTCGTGAACACGAGATCTGCACGACTTTGTCCTCGAAAGGGCATTGTCCAACTCTGTACTGGCGCGATTTCAAGGATTTGGGGCTGTATTTTGTTACCTGTGAGTTCTATTGCCCTCCTCTACCGTCCCGAACTATCTTGTTTGTTATAAATGGTTGCCATAATTACCACCGGCACTACTGGCACTGGTCACTCGCGCACCACTGACCGCCGCTGGCGCAATCAGTGACAGCGGCAGACAGTGGCGCCGCCTGATGGTGTTGGTTTTAGCGCCTCCCATGTGCGTTCATTGGATGCACCTGCCATGAAAATAGTTGTTCTCTGACAGCATTAACGCCAGCGACGCAACGAAAAGCTTACCGCTTGGAAGGTCCTCTTCGTCCCAGGGGTTCTGCTTTCCGGTGAGGCTGCCGGCGGAGCCGATGCTGTCCTCCTGACCTGACTTGACCTCCCGGTCCTCGGGTAGCTGACTCAGCGCCGAGTTTATGTTTCTCCTGACAGAGTTCGACGCCTTAGTCAGTGTAAGTTTATGTTTGTCCTGACAGAGTTCGGTGCCGTCGTCAGTGCAAGTTTATGTTTCTCCTGACAGAGTTCGGTGCCCTAGTCAGTGTAAGTTTATGTTTGTCCTGACAGAGTTCGGTGCCGTTGTTAGTGCAAGTTTATGTTTCTCCTGACAGAGTTCGGTGCTCTAGTCGGTGTAAGTTTATGTTTGTCCTGACAGAGTTCGGTGCCCTAGTCAGTGTAAGTTTATGTTTGTCCTGACAGAGTTCGGTGCCGTCGTCAGGGCAAGTTTATGTTTGTACTGACAGAGTTCGGTGCCCTAGTCAGTGTAAGTTTGTGTTTGTCCTGAGAGAACTACGTGCCGTGGTCGGTAAAAGGTTGCATTTGTCCTGACAGAATTCAGTGCAGTAGTCAGTGCAAGTGGCTGAGTGGATGAGTGAACACGAGGCAGGCATAGACATCGAACAATGGAAGAACTGACAGAAAGATACAGATATGTTACAGAAATACGTGGAGGTTGATGCCAACTCGACGAGCAGCTTTTAACCAGCGTCAATGCCTGGCGTACCTCGCAGCGTATAAACATCAATGCCTGGCGTGCCTCGCAGCGTACAAAATACATCGCGGCAAAATAAGGATGGATTTCAGTAAACGCAAACAGCTGACTTTGGTTTGCTGCTATTCGTAATGGCCTCCTCAGAGCACGGTGAAGTGGGTGTTCACCGCCGGTGTCATTACAGCCACGGCCAGCGACAGCCAGGGAAGCGCATGGAGTTCACGAATGACAGCAGCGTCAGACGACCCTGCGCTGACGACCCTGACCGTCAGACGACCCAGCAGCGTCAGACGACCCTGCGCTCGGATTGGCTGCAGTTTTTTTGTCAAGTAAATGGTGCTGATATCAAGGCGGAATTAAGGCGTGAGCCAGTGGTCGACACGTGTTGAGAGAATGTCAGAGCGGCGGCCGCTTCTCCAGACAGGGGTGGAGTGACGTCCCTGATGTGGAGACGGACGGCGCGGAGGCCGCTTCTCCAGACGGGGGTGGAGTGACACTCCTGATGTGGAGACGGACGGCGCGGAGGCCGCTTCTCCAGACAGGGGTGGGGTGACACCCCTGATGTGGAGACGGACGGCGCGGAGGCCGCTTCTCCAGACCGGGTGGAGCGGCAGCCAGGTTCAGCGGCCAGCATCGATATGGCGAGAGGCAGGGCCGTCTCCGTCCCCGTCGGACGGTTCGCCACTGACCTGAAGGCGACGTTGCCGAAGCCGGGTCGGTCGAACAGCGACTGCTCGGCAGCCGCCCCCGACTGATTGAAATCCAGGTCCGTCAGCTTACCCCGCTTGCCTGGCGGGTGACCGGGCACAGGTGTTGGCTTGCAGACGTGGCCCGGCACGAACACCAGCGCGCCGATGCATACCCCACTCATATAACGTATGAATGTTTAACGTGTGGATCATGCACGCCGACGTTTTTCTGCCAAGCGTCAGTGTGTATTAATGACGGCGACTGCCTTACGGTAACCCGTCCGTCGATCCCTGGGTGCCACAATCCGAACCAGAGATCCATGCTCTGACAGGCGGTGTGGTGCGACGGATGATGCCCCAGTCCGACCAAGGGCGCCAACGCACATCAAGGGGCACCAAAGCCTAACGAGGGGCGGGGCACAGTCTGCCAGGTCTCAGCACAGCCGGACACAGAACACCACAGTCACCAGGGGGGCGCCACGCAGCATACGACAGAGCGCCAACGGTCGCCGGGGTGCGCCACACAGCATACGACAGAGCGCCAACGGTCGCCGGGGTGCGCCACGCAGCATACGACAGAGCGCCAACGGTCGCCGGGGTGCGCCACACAGCGTGCGGCAGGGTCCTAACGGTCGGCAGAGTGACGCGCTGTGACGAGGCAGGCGTGACTCTCACCTGGGCCACTCTCACCTGGGCCACTCTCACCTGGGCCACTCTCACAGGGCCACTCACCTGGGCCGTCGGCGCCCGAGCCCTCCTCCTCGTACTTCTGCACGTACATGATCTGATCGTCCCGCTTCAGGCCGGACAGACTGCGCACCGACTTGGTGCCGTTGGCGCTGTCGGACACCTGCGGACGGCACCGAGGTCACTGACCCCTGGCCGGGACGCCTCAGAGCTTGCATGCGCTCGCCCCGCGCTCGCCGGCCCATAGAGCGACTGACACGGTGTGGGGTCAGTCGGTTTCGGCCCCGAGATTTCCGAGACGGTCCTAACCCGAATGGCGGGCCCCTCCTGTGATCCAATCGAGGGGGCTCGTTGCCCGTGCACACGGCGCAGAAGCGTTGGCGAACATCCCCCCCTCCCCCCCCCGCGACCTTCGAATATTCTGACGCCCAACATCAACATGCAAGTGCTTCCCTGCCCTGCCTTATCGGTGTAATTTCTGGCCGCAAACTGTGACGCCAAAGCTGACAACATCACCGATATTGACCTTTGGACAAAATCGATGACTTTCAACTTGCGAAATTTGGGGGTTTACGGAAAGCCTCTGCCGGAATTCAGACGACAATGGCTGTGAGTGACTGGGTGAATGGGTAAGCAACAGACGAGCGTGGCTGTACAAATAATGAGAAAAGTAAGGAGAGTGCAAAAATATCTAAGGTAAAGGTGCTGATAAGGACCTCAGGGTTGTGAACTACCTTATTGCTATAGGCGATGTAATTATATAGACTTCATAGGTGCATGCTCTTGCTAAATGGGAATAGTCCATTCAAACAGCTGACTCATTTGTGCCAAAACAAGGAAGAAGATGGGGTCTACAAAGCACTACTCAATCGCAAAGCGTGACCGACAGTGAAAATATTTCTTTACATTCATCTGTGAATGACAGTGCCGTATTACAATGGCCTTGTGTAGTGTTGTAATGCAAGTACCACTAAGTGATGCTGGCCAGTATCATCGTCCATACCAATAACAAAACTTCGCAGGAATATGGTAGCGTTAAGAGCAAACTCCCATTAAGGGAAAGGGATCACATCGATTATGAGCAGATGTCGGATTCCACGCCTTTAACTAAAGAATGCTGTTTCAGTGGACCTTGTCTCTTTAATTGCGCAGGACAATCCCGGCACCTTGCGCCCGCCGTGTTTAGGTAACTTGATGTTCTTCGACATTCAGGGCGCCTTTAACACCACCTGGTGACCTCACGGCAGCCTGCCCAAGATAAATAAGTGTAGCATCACAGCAGCATGAGCAGCATTGCCCCTGAAGCGCTCTTGAGGTCCAAGTGAGGGGCGTGAGCTCAGGACTGAACCCACGGGGTAACGGAGTTTCGGAGGACACTTACCCAGGTGGGGCGGTCCTCATTTGTAAACGGCCGCCACCTACACCATTGCATTGCATTGAATGCAGCCTCAGTGGTGCATTAAACCTAGGCCATCCTAGGAAATTTTGGTCTTACCAACCCTTCGACATTTTAAATTTTGAACTTATCTTCAGCCCTTGAACCTTTAAAACAGTATGCGTAGGCATGTAAACTGGAGACAAATTAACGTCAGGTACCAAAGTTTGCTCTAAGGTCGCCGTAAGCTGTCCTCTTCGATTAAAACAAAAACCCGATTTTGTATTTACCCCGTCTCGTTGCTTTGGAGGCTATCGAGACGCCTTATGAAAAGTTCACAGACAAGTACAGACTTGGAAATAAAGAGAAGGTAGTCGCCACGCTTCACTGCCCGCACTCCCTCCTCAGCGTGCCTCCCTCGCCGAGCCTCCCACCTGCCTCACCGTGAAGTTCTGCTCCCCACCCTTCACTCCCGCTCTCCCTCCCCAGCGTGCCTCCCTCGCCGAACCTCCCGCCCGGCTCACCGTGAAGTTCTGCTCCCCACCCTTCACTGCCGCTCTCCCTCCCCAGCGTGCCTCCCTCGCCGAACCTCCCGCCCGGCTCACCGTGAAGTTCTGTTCCTCGAACTTGTTGTTGCGCCGCTGCTGCAGACGACGGTTCACACCGCCCGGCAGCATGCGGTTCCGGTTGGCGGCCGCCCCGGCGTTCGTCAGCTCGGAGAACCTGGGCGTCTGGCCGCTCACCTGCCGCACCGCGCCGGGGACGTGAGGTTTTCTCACTTTTGGAGCTCGCATTCATTTCTGGTACGGAACTGACCAGAACCACCGCATGGCCTGTTTGCCCGGTGTTCCAAATGGTTCGCACGGTCGGTTTGGCTCAGGCTGCATGGGAGGTACCTAACAGAGCTTGTTGCCAGTACCCGGAACTTCGCTGAACTAATGCGATTCCAATTACGACGACAACTTAACTTTTATATGGATCTTCTGTATATACCGCCCAATACTACGGTGGAGCATGCGTAGGTTACGTGCAGGTTTATACGTGCCTGTTCCCTACATGTGCTCATCTACGGACTATCGAGTCACCCCGCAGGCGCGTCACCAGTCCCATAAAAACATCTCGATTGATGCAAAAAGGTCTGTAAATACTTTCAGTGTTGACCGGCTGGCGAGCCTAACACATCTCAATAATATGCCGAATGTGGGTCAGGCAACTGAGCTATGACATAATCGTCGGGTTTGCACTGCGATTTGCGCCTCGCCGTGTAGCCAGTTACAGCTGTATAATGCATGTGATGCATTTCATACGCATAAAAACAAAATGAGCTATGTATTTTGTAGTCAAGAGGTCGGCATAACGGGCAAATTTATCAGCAAATAGTTTGCATAGCTTATGCGGAGCGGATGCAAAAGTCATACCTAATGACAAAGCCCAACTTTGCCGTGACCGGACAATGAGCCTCCATTACCTATGAGGCGCGGCTCTGAAGCGCAAGAACACGCTCTTACGTTAGATGCAGAAGAAAACGCTGTGCAAACCATCTAGTTATGTAACATATTATTTTAGTTATTTATTTCATTCATGATATCTATGCTTTATTTAGATTCCCCTGGGGTATTTTGCACGGGCTTGGTCGTTATCAGTCGCGTGACGAGTGCCGTGCTGACTGCCCCCCAGTGAGAGTGGCCTGGGCTTTCGGCTAACGATCGGATTTCACTGATCCCATGATTAGATCATGAGATACCATGGTGAAGAATTGCAGTCCCACAGGCGGTCGCGTAGACGAGAACTATCGGTTGGCATCGAGCTATCGCTGTCTGTGTGCTGCTGCCACAGGCGCTGAAGCGATTCATCATGAGGAACCCTCAACCTGACAGCAAGATCGCAGCAGGCCTTCTCCTGGCCACGGCCAAGCCTCCTAACTGCGTGGATTCAGCAGACACATCGCCGAAACAATGGGGGCCGAGTATACGTCGGTAGGTGTGAAATGGGTGGGAGAACTCGTCAACGCACTCTAGCTAACCTTCCCCGCAAAACCCCGTTTATCATGCCGATCCGTGGCACGATAAGCGGCCAACAGATGGCAGGCCAATACGCACGTGAGGTTTCTCCTTGTGCAGGCCGAGCAGGCCGGCCGTGCCGCGCGAGATGGTGGAGACGATGCTGCGCGTCTTGGCCGGCGCGCTCTCCGGCGCCTCCGCCGGCGCCGCCTCGTCGCCGGCGTGCTGCTCCATCTTCTGCCGCTCCAGCTGCATTCGCTGCTCCTCCTGACGGCAAGATGAGGCCGTCACGGCCGCTCGAGACTAGTCGTCACGGCCGCTCGAGACGAGTCGACACGCGCGCTCGGGACGGAGCCGTCACGGCGCTCGAGACGGAGCCGTCACGCCGCGCTCGAGACGGAGCCGTCACGCGCCGCTCGAGACGGAGTCGTCACGGCCGTCGGGACGGAGCCGTCACGGCCGTCAGGGACGGAGCCGTCACGGCCGTCGGGACGGAGCCGTCACGGCGTCGGGACGGAGCCGTCACGGCCGTCAGGGACGGAGCCGTCACGGCCGTCAGGGACGGAGCCGTCACGGCCGTCAGGGACGGAGCCGTCACGGCCGTCAGGGACGGAGCCGTCACGGCCGTCAGGGACGGAGCCGTCACGGCCGTCAGGGACGGAGCCGTCACGGCCGTCAGGGACGGAGCCGTCACGGCCGTCAGGGACGGAGCCGTCACGGCCGTCAGGGACGGAGCCGTCACGGCCGTCAGGGACGGAGCCGTCACGGCCGTCAGGGACGGAGCCGTCACGGCCGTCAGGGACGGAGCCGTCACGGCCGTCAGGGACGGAGCCGTCACGGCCGTCAGGGACGGAGCCGTCACGGCCGTCAGGGACGGAGCCGTCACGGCCGTCAGGGACGGAGCCGTCACGGCCGTCAGGGACGGAGCCGTCACGGCCGTCAGGGACGGAGCCGTCACGGCCGTCAGGGACGGAGCCGTCACGGCCGTCAGGGACCAGCCGCGCACCGTCGTGACATCGGCTGGCCGACGGACCGAAGGACGTGCGGCATCTCCGACTCAGAAGGGCAACACCTGGAATGCCAAGCGTGCGGCACACCTGACCCCAGACGTGCGGCACCTCTGACGTCAGACGTGTGGCACCTCTGACGTCAGATGTGCGGCACCTCTGACGTCAGACGTGCGTCATCACTGACGTCGGACTTAAAACACCTCTGATGCCAGACGGGTGGCACCTCTGACCCCAGACGTAAGGCACCTTTGATTTCAGACGTGCGGTGCGTCTGGCGTCATACGTGCGGCACCTCTGACGTTAGATGTGCGGCACCTCTGACTCCAGACGTGCCATGAGAAGTGAAACGATGAACAAATCGCAGAGAGTCCTGCCTCAGCTCACACCACCGAAAGGGAGACGATGCGATCCCGATTAACGGATCTCTTTAAATATTCGGCTGTGATCTGGCCGTCTGTAGGTTGGCGGCCTGACGTCCATCGACGCCAGTTTTGACAACGCAGTTAGTTCCTTTGCTGATTATTACGTCAACAAAGCACAGATGGGCATACAGACAACACCAGTGCGCCGTGCGTAAGCGTCACACCCTTTGATCACCACGCATGATGATAATAGACCCCCCTTGATATCGTGTGGCTTTTGATACCCAATCGAAATATGTCGTAACAGCTCGTGATTGTCGGTTGTGCACTAATTATTTGCCCGCACGCCTTAGGGTTGCTCAGCTTCTCAGTCCAAATGGTCGGTATAGGCGCCTTTCAGCGACAGACTTGACACGGATACTGACATCAAAGGACGCTTGTGTGACAGCTGTCGCAATACAACCACCGCACCACACTTGTCGCTAGCGACGGTCAACTTTGAAGTAATGCAAACGCGACTAAAACAGACAAGTGTTTAGCTGATATGTGGCATATGTACGCAGGTCCGTGTATTCTCCGGTCTCAGTTTACCAGGGACTGGCTAAGCTGCTGCTTCTGACCTTGGCCGCCTTACGGTCCAGCTTCTTCTGTATCTTGTCATATTCCTTGACCCTCTTCTCTGCCTCTTTGACGGCCTTCTCCTTCAGCGACCGGGCGACCTGAGCATAAGAGCGCAGCGTAGGGTGGGTGACTGGTCACGTGGCCTTCATAGCATGCAGTGACGCGGCAACTCCCGTGGAGCCGAGCCCGACGCCCTGACGTCCGCGCTACGGAGATCACGTGGCCCCAGAGATGCCATGACTAACGTAAAACAAGGACACAGAACACAAGATGGCATGATGAGTGAGCCATACATTGACGCCAGTCTAAATGACGGAATTCTCAGCCCCTTCGATACTCGTCAAACCATCATCAGCCCACAGCAGCCCAGCTACGACACAGCACACTCCGCCCACTGTCTACCCCGCCATCGGCCCACTGCGCGCACCAGCGGCGCTCGCCCGACCGGGCGGCACGCGCACCTTCTTGTTGAGCGCCTCCTGTTTGGCGATGACTGTGTCCAGGTAGCGCAGCACGTCATCGCGGCTGCGGATGGCCGCCAAGTCCTTGGCCGTGTGGAAGTCGTTGTCGAGCGCCCACAGGTTGGCGCCGAAGTTCACCAGGAAGCTGACGCAGTTCATGTGACCCTTGGCCGCTGCGCAGTGCAGGGCCGTGTTACCGTAGTTGTCGCATTTGTCCGGATCACCCCTGTGCGAAGAGGAAGAGAAAGAGGGCATTTTATTCATACAGCAAGGACTGCGGTGTGAGCCCAGCTGGCCAGTTCTCGAGTGGTCCTCTCCTGCTTGTTGTTTTTTTCGAAGATGACGGGATGGCTTATTACATAGAATCTTGAATGCATTTTTCATAAGGTATAGAATATGTTCCCTAGAACCTATAATATTTATCTAGACCCACATATCTTTCTGTACCTATAAGCACATTATTTTTAACGTTTCGCACCAGCTGTGTGAATTTCAGTCGCCGCGTCACTGACCTGTGACAGATTAAACTTGGTGATGTTCTGTAAGGTCAAAAGTGCCGCCGCCCCGTACCATTGCAACCGATTGATACCAAGCGCATATTGTTGAGTACATCCATGATTCGCAGAAAGTTCGTTTCTTCCAAATTTGACACAGATCAAGTTAAAGGAGTGTTCTACATCTGAATCACGTTTTGAACTGAAATAGCCATATCAAGACCTTTCGATGCAGCTAACGGCCATGTCCTTTTTAGAAATTGAAACCTTCTGGCTGTTGAGCTCTGCTTCTCGAGCTTAAAGGCCGCAAAGATGTGGGAGAGCACTTGTGGACTGAGTCATTCAAGGGTACGTCGGAATGCATGACGTCGTAATAACGTCATATACATACTGCCACTCCATTGCCCATTCGCCGATCAAGGACAAAAAATATAATTATCGAGTCGTTTATAAGTGACGTTTGTTAGTACGATTCAAGACATCAAAGATCGAAAAAGATCAGATCGAAGATCGAAAAAGACAAGATCGAAAAAACACGTTAAGAGAGCTCCGAAGACAGAACAGTCCTCCGTGTTACCCTTGGAGATTGAGTCGAAGGCCGTTGTCCTTCGACTGGAGTCGGGCAACATCTCGCATCGATTTGGAAAGTTGCTCCTTTGGACGAGGGCGGTCAATATTCTGCATGCTTATTGCTTTGATGTAAAGGCTTTTAGCGGAATTTCGTAGCCATAAAAACCCAGAAATAATAATATGCATCGATGTTTTCAACTTCCAGAGATCGCACACAGTAGAAACTCATCATCTAGCGCTAAATCAAGAACACTTGTTTGATTCCGGTGACACCTTTGACGCAAGATGCGGCCTATCCAGCTTCCTATCAGGCTTGTTCTGCAACTAATACAAGTAAACCGAAGTTCCGAGAAAAATAGGTACCAATGGTAGGTATAATTACCCCCTTACAGGCGTCCTCTGCGCATTTACATGCTATGCCTTCACCACAGGCAGTCGCCATAGGAGTAAACGTAAAATATCATAAAAGTACACAAATTTGGGGTCCCAACCCGCAGGTACATGACTTCAGATCAAAACCTCGTGGTTGGATTTGGCTTGTTTCAGGTGTCTAGAATATAAATATTGATCACATTTGTTGGAACACAATGTCTGTAACCACGGGTGTCGATTCGTACAGTTTGGCGAAGGCCGCGCCCCTCCCCCTATTGAGATCTCCCTTTCCCAATACAACACAAATAGTTTTCTTTGGACACGGCTTACTAGCCATGGCCACAGGTGCAGATCAAAAAATTTCAACTGGGGGCGCCTCTCTATAAGAAACGTTGATCTGTTTTTTTTTTCAATTGCCAACACCTGACACTCCACACACATGCGTGTCTATTACGTGCCATTAGTCTGAGAGATAAAACAGTATGTCAAAAAACAACGGAAAGCGATAAGGGATAAAAAACACATTAATGCATGAACACATAAACAGTATAAAAACAGCTCTATCGCACAAAAAACGACCTGGCATTGGATTGCGTTTTCAGGCTTCAGGAACGCCGTTAGAGCCATAGTGGGCGGGCCTCCGGGGATTGAGGCACCCTTCTGTCCTTAAAGTACTCTTTCCGCTCTCGCGGCATGTTGTACGTCACGGGCGCGCAGGGGCTTTCGAGGCGCCGCTCCGGGTCAGGCTATTTAGGGACGTTTTTCTAACCCTCGAGACACGATTTCAGACCTTGGGGATATGTGTTGAGTACTTAGGACAGCTCCGCTAGGAACCAGGGCGTCTCTTGATCGTTAGGGGCGCTTTTCTGGACTTCATGGCATATTCTAAGCCCACAGGCACTTCATTCTAGCCCGCAAGCACGTCTTAGCAACATTTGGGACGTCTCTGGAATGCGAGCGGCGGTCTTTGAGCCCCGGCAGCCCCATCCCTGGGGTTCGAGGCTCCCTTTTATTGCTTAAGGCATCATCGCTCCTCTTGCCCTCAAGATGTAACTTTGATCTTCAGGGGTGCCCTCTGGTTCATCTTGGGCGGTTGCAGTTGCTGGGCACCCTTTAAGTATTATGGGCGTGCTCGTCGTCAGGACCGGCGATCGGGGAGCCGAATGAGCCCTCGGGGAAGGAGCTTCCCAGCCCAAGGGTTTGGGAGTCCTTTCCTTTTTCAGAACATCCTTCAAGACTTTGCAACATATCCATAAGCCAGATGACGCCCTTCTAGTTTTCGGTGATGCTTCCTCCCCTCCCGGCAAGGTTTGCGACATCCTTGCGTCGTTCTGACCAGCCAAACCTTGCCTTGTTCCGCCCGTGCCAGCCGCATCTTCAGGGGCGCCGTCATAGCAGAAGGCCTTCAACGCCCTTGGGCGGCCTATAGAGGGGCACCTCACTCTCCGACCAGAAAGGTCACGTGCCCCCAGTGCTCCTCCCCTTGGATACGCTCCTGCCTGACTACCATGCTGCTTAAAGTCAGTATTATTTGATACATGAATCACATAGATCCAGTTTCGTCAAAATAGTGAGCAGAATCCAATGAAAAAGTTGGTTCAAGGTTAGGTTGCCACGGGCTCGCCCCCCTCCCCTCCCTCCCCCACCGCCAGTCATATACCAAACGTGACACCTCACAACATGCCACAACGGTCTACAAGCACGCCTCAGATCATCCGGCTTCTCTCCGTGGACTTCAAGTACAGAAGCCAGAGCATCACAAGGCAAGGAATTAAGAAGACAAGGAATTACAAAGATAAGTAAATACAAATACAAGCCAAAAGGTAAGGAAGCGACCACCTACCTAAATCAGGAGACGTGAACAGTAATAAGCAATATATAAAAATTGCGAACTCTAATGAAATTCATGCTCTTATAGTAAAACTCAATTGTCCTCCGCTGTTCCCGTAGGTTCGCGCAACACACAAGGCTACCGTCGGCTATCGGGCCGCTGCCACACGTGATTGGATGTTATCTGCTCACAGGCCATGGTCCATCAGCCGCGCTCGAGCAGGTGGTAACGGGCCGCACGATACCGGCAAGAGCACTCGCTGCCCTACTGCGAGCTCGTGCGATGGAAGAGCCCGGAGAACGTGGCTCACGCGATGTAAGATCAGAACGACCCCTTTATTTATGGAGGGCACCACACAAATAGAGAACCAACAGCCATAGATTAACAACAAAACATCAGCACATAAAATAGGAGCAGCGAGGAAATGCCTCGTCCTTCATCGATCAGTACTACTTTTCAAAAAATCTAGAAATTTTATGTGATATGACAGCGTAGCTATGGTTACGCGTTGTGGTCTGCACAAATCAGGCAGCAGCTATCCGCTTTGCCGCCACTTTAAAACCGCTTCCTTCGTAGAGGAGTCCGGATGGTTCAGAAACATCGGACCAGACGGACACGCCGCGCCAGCCCGGCGGCAGCAGTCGTCAGCCTGCTGTCGGACCGAGTCGGCCTGCTGTCGGACGGAGTCGGCCTGCTGTCGGACGGAGTCGGCCTGCTGTCGGACGGAGTCAGCCTGCTGTCGGACGGAGTCGGCCTGCTGTCGGACCGAGTCGACCTGTTGTCGGACCGAGTCGGCCTGCTGTCGGACCGAGTCGGCCTGCTGTCGGACCGAGTCGGCCTGCTGTCGGACCGAGTCGGCCTGCTGTCGGACCGAGTCAGCCTGCTGTCGGACCGAGTCGGCCTGCTGTCGGACCGAGTCGGCCTGCTGTCGGACCGAGTCAGCCTGCTGTCGGACCGAGTCGGCCTGCTGTCGGACCGAGTCGGCCTGCTGTCGGACCGAGTCGGCCTGCTGTCGGACCGAGTCGGCCTGCGACGAGTGGGCTCCTGGGTCACCTCGGCCGGTGGCGAGTGGACTCCTGGACCACGTCGCCTGTGACAGATGGACTCCTGAACCACATCGGTCGGTGACAGGTGGACTCTTGAGCCACATTGACGGGCGACAGATGGACTCCTGGGCCACACTGGCCGATGACAGGTGGACTCCTGAATAACGTCTGTTGGTGACAGATGGACTACTGGACTACGCCTGTCCGTGACGGGTGGACTCCTGGACCACGTATGCCGTGACAGATAGACACCTCAACCATGTCTGTCTATGACAGATTGACTCTTGGAGCGCAAGAGCTTGCGACGCAGACACCGGCCGCGGATCCGAACAAAGAGGCGCACCACCGCTCCCGTCCGCCCCTCATTACCGAGCTTCCGTTCCCACGCGAGAGGGGCCGGAGAAGGCTCATCAGTAGACACGCCTATTCTCTGTACAGTTATTGTACTTCCGCACTCAGACTACTGCAGTTGAGATGGAAACACAAAAGAACATGTAGCGACGGCATTTGGCATTTTGAAATGGCGCCAAGAACGAGTGGAGGCAGACAGTCTGTTTACTGGACACTATCACCCAAACGGGCCTGTGCACTAATAGCATTATCCAAACGGGCCTGTGGACTAGACAGTATCACCCAGACAGGTATGTGTATTGGACAGCATTACCCAGACGGGTCTGTGTATTGGACAGCATTACCCAGATGGGCCTGTGTAGTGGACAGCATTAACAAGACGTGCACTGGACAGCATCACCCAGACGGAGCTGTGCACTGGACAGCATTAACAAGACGTGCACTGGACAGTATTATCCAGAGGGGACTGCGTGTTGCACAGCATGACCCAGACAGGTCTGTGTGCTGTCACCTTGACGACCCTGTAGACGGCACCACTATCTTCAACTGGTCCGCGGGACCT